CTATATGAACTGCCTGTGATGCCTATTGTGAACTATGTGTGATGTCTGCAATGTTTATTTGAGTGGGGTACGTTATACGTGATCGAACAATAAAAACAAGGAATATATGGACGCTTTGCCGAGTGTTACACTCGGCAAATAGGCATTTTGCCGAGTGCTAGGGTAAAAACACTCGACAAAGAGGACACGTGGTCAAAATCTGTTCATTCTAGGACTAAAATGACTTCTTTGCCGAGTGTCCAGTATTTGACACTCGGCAAAGATGGCAGGTTTGCCGAGTGTCCAATATCTGACACTCGGCAAAGAAGGCATGTTTGCCCAGTGCCCGGGATTTGACACTCGGTAAAGATGGCATGTTTTCCGAGTGCTCAGGATTTAACACTCGGCAAAGAAGGCATGTTTGCCGAGTGTCAGATGTTGGACACTCGACAAAGAATTCAGGTTTGCCGAGTGTCTGGTCCGGGACACTCGACAAACGCGTCGTGACCGTCTCCGTGTCGTCGCGTTACTTTTTTCGTCGAGCGTCGGTTTCAGCTCTCGACAAAGTATTTGCTGAGTGTCCGATAGAAAACACTCGGCAAAGAGATGTTTGTCGATCCTGTAGATGTCGTGTGCTCTTTGCCGAGTGTTACACTCGGCAAAGCTTTTGCCGAGTGTTTTTTGGTCTTTGCCGAGTGCCTGTGGCACATGGCAAAGTTATTGTTTCCGCTAGGGTTCCGTATTTAAGTATGGCAACATCCACTCTAACCAGTAAGGATTAAAGTTCATCCCTCTCATATATATATATATATATATGAATGCGATTTTAAGATTTATTTAGAATTGTTCAGAATTTCTATTGAGCGTAGCTCCTACTATATTGCAACACCTACAAGATAAAGGCAAGCGATCTCTATAATTTGCTCTAGCTTGGTCCGGTGCGGTGCATAAACAATGGGCTCCTACCCCTTCACCCTCCATCTCTCCCCACTCGTGGCGTCTAGAAGCAGTACGGTAGTGTAGAACTTTATTTTAAGACGCTGCGGTGGCGGGTGGGTCGGGGGCGTCCTCGCGCGCGACTTTGTTTTCCGCGGTCTCCGCCTGTGAGGGGCCCGAAGCGAAATCAAATGCCCCCACATTACCTCCTGCTGCCCGTTTACTTCCTTCCCCGCAGTCCTCTGTGCTCACATTGCTACGCCTCTCCTCCGATCCCATCCTCCTCCTCCTCATTCTGCAGCCCCTCGCTCGCTCGCTAGATCTGCCCGACGTACGGCGCCACTGACGGAGGGGTTGTAGGTGAGGATCGTCGTCTTGTTGTGCTACCATGTCTGATGCCTCTCACCTTCCTTCTTCTTCCGTTCCTTTGGTTTTTAGTGTTTTACCCGCTCGATCTCTGTAGTCTCGGACTGTCGGTGCAAGGGCGCCGCCGGCCGGATAGAAGCCGCTGTTCGGGTTGCCGCCGGCGCCACCACAGGTGAGGTTCCATTTATGGCAATGGTTTTACATCACATTACATTTTCAGAAACTCAAAGTCTTTCTCAAAGTTTTGAGAAATGCAATAATTTCTCCTCATTCAGCAAAAGTTTCACAAAGATTAATCTTTTCCTAAAAAAGTTTTCCGATCTAACATTAGTTCCTTCAGCAAGAGAGAGAAAAGATTGCGTGAACTTCTTTGACCGTCAATATAAATTCGTTATGAATAAACACTGTTTTTAGTATGGCACTTTAGGGCGCCTCGGGCGGTCCCCTCGCTCCTCGTCCCCAGGCCCCCGCGCCAGCGACTCCGCCCTCGCCACCGCCGGAGCTGCCGGGCGCGTGTCCGGCGGGCAGCAAGGATGGCGGCGGCGGGGCCATCCTGCCCTCTATTGTGTGTGCTGTGCCATGGTGATTGGTTGCTCGCAGCGTCGTGGATTCGAGTTCGAGTTCCGTACGGTCTTGCTGCCGCGCTCCAACGACAGCGCGTCGTCGCTGCCTGTGCGGCGGCCGGATCCGTGCTGGGCTACGAGATCCTTGTTGCCGGTGGCCGGATCTGGGCACCGGTGGCCTGATCTCCGCGCGGTGCGGCCGAACTCCGGTGCGCGGTGGCCGGGCTCCGACTTGGCCTGGTCCAGGCGTGGCGCGGTAGGCTAGCTCGGGCTGCAGCGGTTGCGTTCGTGGCATGCTCCTGCGCTCCTCTGGTGGCAGTTTGGTGCGGAGGCTGCTGGAGGCCTTGGGTGGCGTGATGGATGCAGGGCCAGCTCGGTAGGGGTTGGAACGTTGGTGGGCTGGGTGACTGGGGCTTCTTCTGATCCCAGCCCTCTTCTCCCCGCCATCTGCCTCTCCCCTTTCTCGGGTTGGTTTCCGTGGCAGAGCTGGCTAGATCTGCTTGCTGCTGGCCGGCTTTGATGGTTCCAGCGGGGGCGGACTCTCCGACTGGGTTTTCCGGGTGTTTCTCCTGGCCGGCGTCCCTACGGGCGGCGGACAGGCGGGGCTGCTGCTGAATCATCGCCGCACCCTGCCTCCGTGGTAGGGTCGGGACTCCGGCGACGACGGTGTGGAGGTTGCTTGACGTCGAGGAGAAAGCTTGGACGACGACATCTGTAGACACCGTTATCTTCTTGCAGGCGTCCTTTCCTACCTCTCCTTCTACTGTACTGAATGTTGCAGGTGAAAACCTTCCTTTGGCGGGCTACTTTGTTGGCGCTTTTAGCGTCGTTTCCTCTTTGGAGGCATTGCTAGGCTTTCCAGTTCTGCGGTTGCTCCTTGTCGTTTGGCCATGGTGGTGCCCCACTGTGCTGTTTGGCGTCGCCCGGCACGTCCTCGTGTTTTTCTTTAGTCCTTGTTTGTTGTTAATTGAGTTGTAGTTGGGTCGATTTTGACCAAGTTGGAGCAAACAGTGGCATGAGTTTTTGATAGTTGTTCGGTTGTTATACCAAAGTTGTGTAGGATGAGTGGAACACTCTCTTCAGTTGTTTGGTTTTTAGGCCCGGTTTCCATTTAAAAAACTGGGCGGGCACCGCTTTTCTTCTTTCTTCGTCTAATAAAAATCGCGGCAAAGCTTTTGCCGTCCTTTAAAAAAAAGTATGGCACTTTGACCATTAATATTTTAAGAATATAGCGAGGGGACGCGATTGGCTAGCCATCTTGCGTCGCACCCTGGCAACCCACCGGCGACCCAGATTCGAGCCCGACGGGGCGCGTTTCGCTGGACGGAGACCAAATTCACCGTTGTTGCCATGCCATACTCCGATTCCACTCCCCCGCAGTAGCTCCATGACCTCCCCCCTCCCTCCCAACTAGCTGCATCGCCCCTCTCCATAGGTAAAGGCAGGGTGGGACATTGCCACCGCTGCACCCGCCATTGACGCCATCGAGCAGAGGTCGCGCGTGGCTGGCGCATCCTTCTTTCTCATTTTGGTGTCTCCCTAGGTCACTGGAGCCCGCGCCGGTGGCCGGTGGCCAAGGTCTTTGTCGCCGGCAGTAGAACGCCGAGCACCGTAGCCATGAGCTCGCCGCGGCATCGCCATGGATGCAGCCACACTTCACGTCTGCCTTCCCAAGCCTGACTTCAAACCTTAGATCTCCACCTTGGTCACCTAGAGTTCACGTGCGCACACAGAGGCCACACCGAGCCGGAGGCGGCAAAGCCCGCCGCCATACCTAGGAGTCGAGCCGCTTTTCACGCCGCGGCCATAGGTAAAGGCCTCCATTGGTACCGCGACTTGTCTAGACGGGTGTGGGAGACCGCGCAAGCCCGTGGTGCCATGCCCGCCGCTGGAAATCTCACCGCCGGCCAGGTTGCGGTGCCAAGCGCTGCGTGCAGGAAGGAGGAGGGAGGAAGAAGAAAAGGGCAGGGGCAGAATCATCATTTCACCGCTGTTCTCTCTCCTCTTAAGGCAGAAATTAATATTTTTATGCGTTCGATGTCCTCCAGCAAATTTTGCACAAAGTAGAGTGTCCACTAGTAAATCGATTTATTTTCAGTGTCCGCTGGCGAAGCAACCTCACTTTCAGTGTCCAACAACCAATTTTGCCAAGGGAATATCTAACTAAAGCCACCCATTCCCAAAAGGGATACCGAAACACTTGTGGAAGGGGTGACTCATTCTCAGCAACAATGTTGCCACCTTCCTTGTAATCATGTTACCGTCTTCACCATCATGGTCCTCTAGCATGGGGTCTCTCTCAATATCGGGCTATGAACATTCGCAGCTTGCGTTATGGATGTCTATAGACATGCCACGATGTGCCTACCGACATATGAGCACTATGTTCATGTGTCGTACTCCCCTACAACCGCACCTTACTGCATGAATCCAGGTTTGTGCCAGCCTCCCCTATATATGCCATTCGCTCCTCTGTCACAAGCTTCAGGCCGAATGGTAGTTGGGCAAGGGCTTTGTAGAGAAAGCTGCCATTATGGCCTCAATGTTGACCATTGCATCGATCCTAGAGTCGAAATCACCCAAGATACTAAAACCTTGCTCCTCTGCCTCTTCCTCACCCTTCTTCCTCCACATACATATTCCTTCACACATTCATACACCTTACAATGATTATATTGTACTTCGTCTCTTCCTCTGCTTCGTTATGATAAAATGATTTTTATTGACACCACTATTTTGTTATAGAGGCAGTCTATAAATACAAGAGTTTCTAGAAATCACATGATGGGCCCAGCTGTCTAGGACGGTCTCTAGAAATTGATTTCCAATGGCGTGGCCTACAAGGACCCAGTGGAAATGAGCCCATTTTTGAAGTGGTCCACATAAGGAACCGCCTCGGTAAATACCATTTATATACACATGTAGTTGCTATGTGAACTACCTTTGAAAATCATTGAAAAAGTTTTTCTTACTGTTTAAGTAAGTTCAGTTTCTCTATAATAATTATATGGAGGGATGTATCATATGCATCTCAATCTGAAGCAAAATTGTAAAAATGTTTGCAAACTCTTTTGTCATACTTGTTTGGAAGCCGATGCCTTTGAAAATTGTTTCGACCAATGTTCAAAATGAAAGGTTATGATATTCCTACCAACAATGCAACAACAGTGTGGTTGGAGGGTAAGAAACGATAACATGAGGTGGAAGATTATGGTTTCAATAAAATCATGTGAATTGTTACTTGTGACGTGTGACCACCTGTGTTCTTCGCTGGGTCGGCCTTGATGCAAATTTATCTCCCTGTTTTTTTGGAACCTCGTTCTAAAAACATGCATGAAGGATGAAGTGTTGTTGGGTTTTTAAGGAGTGAAATGAGGAGGTGATGTGGATTTGGAAAGACACGCAGGAAGGATGAGGATAGAAGAATGAAGCATTTAATTCTCATGCTAATATCCTGTTGACATTTATAATTCTTTTACAATTGAAAAAGTAATAGTAAATATATGTATTCTAACAGGGAGAGTATGAAAATGGACAAAAGGTTGCTGTGAAGTTGCTTTACAATCGGGAACCAGACTCTGTTAGTAAGCAATTCCAGAATGAATTTGACAACCTAATGAAGCTCGAGCATACAAACATTGTACGGTTGATGGGTTTTTGCTATGAAACCAAACATGTAGCTATACCATACAATGGAAATCTAGTTCTCGCTGAAGAGGCAACAAGAGCACTCATCTTGGAGTATTTGCAGAATGGGAGTCTTCAAAGGCATCTTTCAACAAGTAAGGTGTCCTTCACCGTAACTTTGAGTTGTTCCTATTTGAGAATTGTTATGTTCCTCTATTTGGTGGTTTGTCCAACTTCAACGTGTACTATAATTGTACAGATTACAAGCTATTTTGGAAATACAGGTTCACATTACATAGCACGACGTGGTTGTATCTATTGGACAGATAACATCCAATAATGTAGCATGTATTGGTGCCTAACTCTTTTGAGTTAGGGGATGCTTCGTGGCCACACTTATGTAGTAGAGAGAGATTGTAACACCCAAAATTTTTCATTCTTTTAAAATAAGTAAATTTGATTTAATTATGTTATTAAGTGTGCATTCAATTATAGGAAACTAATAATTTTTGGGGAATTAAAATCAATTATAAGATTTAAAACTTTTGATGCATACATGCTGCTGCAATATTTATTCATGTGATGATTGTTCTTGAATTAGAGTTCAAATGAATTCAAAAATTATTTGAAAATGCCTTTGGGAAAATTTGTTTGGAAAATAAAAAGAAAAGAATCATTTTCTCCTCCCCTTCCTCATTTTCGGCCCGCATGGCCTTTTTTTCCCCCATGTGACAGCTCACTCTCTCTCCCTCTTCCCCTTTCGGCCCGCCAACCATTGCCCACCCCACAGCTTCTTCAGCTCGGCCCAGCAGTCAAGCGCCAGCCCAAAGAAGCCAGGCAACCACAACGCCTTACCCAGCCCGGCCGCGCCTGGGCCCCACACTGTCGGGCGCCGTCCCTTCCTCATGGCTTCAGCTCGGCAACCGCCAGCGCCGGTGTCTAAGCAACCGCCGCCCGCGCTCCGTGCATCGTGGGCGCGCCCCCCCCTCGCGCCCCGGCCGCTACAAATAGGAGCCGAGCCCCCCCTCGCGCGCCCCCTGCTACCTACCGCTCCGGTTTTCGCCCTCGCTCTAGGCCAGCAACTGTCGCCCCGATCTCCGAGCTCGGCGACGCCCCTCACGTGACAGCCCTCCTCCGAGCCGCCTCCGTCTCCTTTTTTCCTGGGTGAGCTTCGCCGTCCTCCCCTCTATCTCCGGTATCCCTTTTCTCGTTTTTGTTGGCTTCCGTGCCTTTGGGCCGCGAGCTCCATGAGGCATATGGTCGCCACCATGGCGACCACTGCTTAGCTAACCCGTTTCCGGCCGCCACAACGGCATGGCTGCGACCCCCCTTCTTCCCCCGCGCTCACCGGTGCCCTTGGTGGTCCATTTGGTGAACCCTAGACCCTAACCGCGCGCGACCGTGACCTCCACGCCGCCGGCAATGGCGCCTCACCGCCGGCGTCACTGTGGTCGGCCGGAATATTCTCTCTCTCCCTCCCCAGGTCTAATCTGAACCACTCGTTTCTAATCCAACGGCCGTGATCAGCCGATACCCCTTCGCGTGGCTGTTTTGCAAAAGAGTCCCAGGACTTTTCTAAGTCCTAACCCGCAGTCCAAGGCGTATTTCCCCGAATGCGCAATCTCGATTGGAAAGCGTAAACTTCACGGGTTAAGTCAAAAATACGTTTTCAGTATTTACAGAAATGCCATTTGAACTGTTTCGCTTATAAAATTGTCGTTTTAGCTCCGAATTGATCCATTCAAATCGCGTTAGCTTCGTAATTTCATAAGCTACATGTTAGAACTACTGTTAGTCAAGTTTGGAACTTTTTAATTTCATGATTAGATTTAATTAAATATATGGCTATAGGAAAACCCGTTTAAATCATAACTTTCGCATTTTAGCTCCGTTTTTCGTGAACTTCGCGTTGACGTGATCGTAGCGAGACGTAGAATATGTTTACAAATATTTTATCTTGTTTTCAATACTGTTGGTGTACTGTTCTAATTATAGGAATGTTTGCTTTGCATGAATGCTTATGGAATGTTGTATGTTGCCGTGTTGGTCGCGTTCAGACGGTGAGGAAAACGTTGGAGACCAAGAACTCTTCGACGACCAGCAGGACCAGCACGAGTTTGTGAACCAAGGCAAGTATAACATGGGCCTTCCTTGATGTCCTATTTCACTTTAATCAATTACTCATTTGCATGTGTCTAATTTTGATACCCGTAAGGACATCCTAGTGATTATTTATCCTGTTCCTTGTCTCCTATGGGTTAAATGCATATGGGTAGATTGCTAGTGCTCTAACTGAACTTGATATACCTGTTGATGAATGATACTATGGAACAAAGTGAGTAACATGATTTATAACAACTGTTCCATAGGGCGAAAGTGCAAATGACCTTTGTTCATGTTGCTCCTGGCCCTCCATAAGGACTTATCTGTCGGCAAAAGCTGGGACTGACAGTGCAACCGGGAGAGTCATATGGCTCTGACTTTAGCTCAGTAATAGGACCTTTTCTAGCTAGTTAGAGGTTACCTTTTTGGCGCAAATGGGGCTTGCCACGTTGGGTATAGGGCTGCCTCTGTTCCTATGTGTATAGCCGCGATGGATATGTGCCATAGGAAAGGGGGGTTCCTACATCTGCCTGCCAAGGAAACCTAGCGGCCCTAACTTGTTAGGGAAACCTATGAAATGGCTTCATAGTGTACCCTGCCCGCTCACCTTGGAAGTGACATGGAAGTAATTAACCCGGGCATATGGGGATCACGACTCGCGGTGAATGTGCACCACCTCTGCAGAGGGTAACAAACTGTTATAACAGCCGTGCTCACGGTTACGAGCGGCCCGGAAAACTCACAGAATAACTGGATATTTGATGATGATCTTATAAAGTTGTTTAGTGATGATATATGGTACATATGTCTCCGATATATGTTTTTATGGGAATTAAATGGGAGCTTAAGCATAACTTGATAATACTTGAGAATAAAAGCTTGACCTAATAAAAATGCTAACTGCAGTAAACCAGAGTCTAACCTTTTGAGCTTCATGACCCCATGTTAGCTTGCTAAGTACGGAATGTACTTGCACTTGTTTATTTTCTTTACTTGGATAAAAATCCCGGATGGGTAACAGATGACAACGGGTATGAGGATTTCCCGGAGGATTATTAGGCTTGTGGTCAACCAGTTGACCTTCCCTGTGATGACGGCCACGAGAGTTTTATTATCTTTTTATTATTCCGCTGTGATGTATAAGACTAAGTTTTATTCTAACTCTGATGTATGAGACACCGTGATGATACTTTATGTAATTTGTCAGCTTGTGTGTGTGATTGATTCCTGGGCACACACGAGTTTTGTGCATTCAATTTTATCCTTAAAATTGGGTGTGACAGAGATCACACTGCTCCCATTCCTTACCGGCCAACCCACTGTGACCCCATGGCTTCTTTGGGTTTTGTCATGGGGGAGGCAGAAGATAGGCAGGAGAGGGGGAGAGGAGAAAGGGAATTTTGCAGATTGCGAGAATTAAGAGACAAATAAAGGAAGGGATTAATGAGCAGGCCTATATAGAAGTGAGGGAGAATAGAGATGAGGGAATCTGTGACAATGAATAAATGCCACACCAGAGTCCATTGCATCCAAAAACAGCCCATGTGAACCGGCATGCCAAGTAGAAGGGTCAATTCACCAATTTTGAAGTACTCAGTGAATGTTGGACAAAGAGGAACCTACTATCTTTTTTGAAGCATAGTGGAGGAACCTATTGTGGATTTTTTCGCTTCTTAATGTAGCATGTCAATAGAAAGGTGGCGGCGGCAGGTGTAAAGGAGGACGGTGGCGGCCTAAGCGTCGACTACCCGTCCTTGGCAAGGAGAAGGCGGACCTAGCGGAGGTGGTTCTGTATGCAAGCGTGTCCTTGGAGCGGCGGTGGCCTGGCAGTCCGAAGACCTCGGCGACGGCTGCAACCCTAGGGGCAGCGATGGCCTGAGCGCTGGTGAAGATCTTGGCGAGGAGGAGGCAGATCCCATCGGCAGCAGCGGCCCTAAGGGTGGTGGAGGCCAGGAGTCTGGCGGAAGAGGCTATCCTAGGCGGCAGCCACAAAGGACTCCAGCAGAGGTGAAGGCCATGATCCCAATGACTGCCGCTGCCCTATGGGCGATGGAGGCCTTGGAATCTGGCGAAGCAGAATGGATCATGTCAGCTGGCGTTCGATCGGCTAGTTCTTATTGGACAACAGATGATGAAGGTGGGCTAACCGGCGACACATGGTGTTCGCCTCGCTTGAAGCGGATGAAGATGGCACCAGCGGATGTTCGTAGCCATGGCGCACTTGGGGTGGTGGTGACTTGGCAACTTTCACTCGCCGAATTTGAGGATGTTAGGAAGTAGGGATGTGCCAAGGTTGTAGTTTTTCCCTCTTTTGGTTGTGTATTCTCCTCTATGTTGAGTTGTGAGTCTAAGTGCTCTTGTATTCTTTTGGCTGTTTATATCCTTCATAGATATAGAGGTCCGACTAATGAATCCATTATCTAAAAAAAGAAATAGTTCTGCGTATTTCCATCCTATTAAAGTGTATTTGTTTTGTTTACCATAAGATGCAGATGAAGAACTTGACTGGCATAATTATCAAAGGAATTTGTGAGGGTTTAAAGTACATGCATGAGGAACTAAGACCACCTGTCCTTCATTTAGATCTAAAACCTGATAATATATTACTAGACCAGAATATGGTGCCCAAACTTGCAGATTTTGGTTTGTCCAGGATTTGTGACCAAGGAACTCAGATCACAAGTTGTCTGATAGGAACACGGTAAGGTGACTGGTTTTTGTGCAAATGCATCATACTCTTAGTAAGCAAATCAAGCCCACAGCAAATTTATATGTGTACCATTCCATGGATGCAGTGGATACCAGCCACCCGAATACTTAGGCAGAAATGTGGTTTCAAAGAAGTTTGATATATTCAGCTTGGGTGTTATTATGATAAAGATTATTGAGGAGCGGCATAGTGACTACTACACATCTGATGACACGGTTTCTGATAATTTTGTTGATACTGTAAGGAACGATAGTTTTCTTTTTACCAGGCGGAATAATATTGTTTTTCTTCAAATGTGCCTTTAATGTAGAGTATTTGTGTACATAGTATCCATCTAGATTCAATTGCATTCCTGTTTTATCAGGTACAAATGAAATGGAGGAGTAAGTTGAGTGGAACATGCAATGGTTCTTTACTGGATACATACTGCAGACAAGTAAAGATTTGCACTGAAATTGCATTGCAATGCATGGAGTGCAAAAGAAGAAGGCCCAACATAGTGGAGATCATTGATAAGCTGAATGCGATGGAACATGAAATGGGCATGTTTGAAAATAATCAAGGTCGACATATAGAAAGGGTATGTATACGAATTAAATTTAATGGTATGCACACTTCTATTTATTTGTGTGGAAATATTTTATTAAAGGCATAAAATAGAACTTTCAATGACGGGACATATTTTCCATCCCTGTGTCTCAGAAATGTTTGAACAACTTATAGAGTTTTGACATCTGTTTCTTCGATACAGTACATGGTAGATCCTGCACACCACAGTACCACACCACATACGCATATATATATATATATCTCCCCCACACACCACAGTACCACACCACATACAGTACATCATTGTATATATTTTCATAATAAACTTTGGAGATACAAATGTTTGTTAATATTTACTACAAATCTAGTCAAACTTAAGAAAATTTTACCAACATGAACCCCACAGCAACACTTTTTGGGATGGAGGGAGTATCTATCAACTCAAAAAATGACACATAGTAGAAGTCCATCCTGAGGTCATTATGCATATCCATTGAACCATATCCAACAAACCACTTCGGAAAAATTAGTAATAAAACCATCATTGTGACCTCACTCAATATCATTTCAACAAAGCATATGTTTGTCATGATTGTCACAATGTCATTAATTGACAAAACAGAATAAGAGGCATATATTGTGTGAATGATTATTTTATTGCAGGAGCCTCGAATGATCATGCCAACTAGAGAAGAACAAATATCAGCGCAACTGATTGCCGGTACATGGAAAACCTCACTCTCTGTAGATGCATGCCATGTTGGCTTACTATCAACTTGCTTGCAATTTCTACCAACATATTAATCTAGCACGAGTCCAAGCCATCGTCCCCCATTTCAATTTTTGGACAAAGCAATGACTAAAGTGTAAATCTTTAAGTGGGTCAGAATGTGTGGGTTACAATTAGCTCTAACACATCTCTCTCTCTCTCTCTCTCTCTGATCTTATAGCATGCTTGCTTATGCAGCACACAATTTTCTGTTACCAGCAGAAACGGAAGCAAGGCCGCTACGTTACAGCTACTCAACAACTAAGGGATCAACAGGTCTCATGCTCACAGAGTTAAAAGGAATTACGGACGATTTCTCCGAGAATCGGAAACTTGGTGCAGGCTCATTTGGAAAAGTGTACCTGGTATAACAAACCGTGGATAAGCATTGTAAGTGTAGTAAATTTGCATCTTTCACTAATATAAGTTGATTATCAGTACATCTTTAACAGGGAGAGAAGGAAAATGGAGAAAAGGTTGCAGTGAAGATACTTGATTTTGACGGGCTAGGACCTGATGCTGAGGATTTCAAGGTTGAGTTTGACAGACTTATGAAGGTTGAGCATCCAAACATTGTGTGTTTGATTGACTATTGCTACGAAACACAATATGAAGCTGTACCATACAATGGTAGATTAGTTATGACTGAAAAGACAACAAGAGCACTCTGTCTGGAGTATTTGCACAATGGGAGCCTCGAAAGCCATCTGTCTAGTATGATGTTCCTTCACAAATAGCTTGTAGTTTGTTACTCTTAATTCTGAATGTGTTAGTTGGGATAGTCCTGTTCCATATTGATAATGTTGACTCAAACTGTAGATGAAGACGTGTTTGACTGGCATACAAGGTACAGAATTATCAAGGGAACTTGTGAAGGTTTAAAATATATCCACAAGGAACATCAAGCAGTTCATCTGAACCTAAAACCTAGCAATATATTACTCGATGAACATATGGTGCCAAAACTTGGAGATTTGGGTATGGCCGAGATTTTCAAGGGCTATATAGGAACACGGTAATTATTAAGCGGTCTGCCTTGTTCTATGTATCACTTTCCAGTCATCCCATACGTGCTAACTACAAATTTCTTTTATGATATATTGGATGCAGTGAATACCAGCCACCAGAGTACATAGAAAGAAGATTGATCTCAGAAAAATTTGACATATTCAGCTTGGGAATTATAATATTAAAGATTGTGGCTGGAAAAAGGGGCTACTCCAAATATCGTGGCATGAATTCTGAACAGTTTGCTGATGACGTAAGAAACAGTATTGTTTGTCTTTAACAATATCAATGTTTCTATATATATGGAAATATACAAACTGCATATGCAATGTTTCTTTAACAGAATACATCTGTATTATCAGGTACAAAGGATCTGGAGGAAAAGGTGGGATAATGGAACACTCGTTGGTTCCATACTGGATACACATTACCGACAAGTAAAGCTTTGCACTGAAATAGCATTGAAGTGTGTGGAGCATGAAAGAATCAGAAGGCCCAATATAGTGGAGATCATTGATAAGCTGAACAGGATGGAAATCAAGGTACTATGATCATTTGTACATATATTTTGTTACTTTTCTGTGGACGTTCCCTCGTAGCAGCATAACTTCCAATCAATAAATATGGGAGTAATTTTTCCTTCCATTGCAATTTTGGATAATTCCATATTTGCGACACAGTCAATAATGATACGGTTGATCAGCCCCACATGTCACCGGGACTGTGGGACACACACACAACAATACCATGGACATCCACATGTAATTGTTGTTTTAAAATGCTTGCTCGTTTAAAGCAGCTGAAGTATGAAATAATTAGGTAGTGTTATTCAATCAATTCTTACATTCTAGTATTTAACAACGATATAGTGTAAAGATTAAGAATACAAGTCATACATCATATATAACTTACAATACCTGTTTCAACAGTATATACGTGCAAAGCAGCTGGTACAAGACTAGACCGTGCGTGCCTTGCTAGATAGAGATGATGCTATTCTTTTATTTGTTTGTATGTAATGGTACTGTGATATTATATAGGCATCCACATATCTGAATATATATTGCAAATTGAAGGCATGCAAATTCTTCAAATAAAATTGTATGCATTTATATTTTTTGACTTGGTCTATGAGAGAATCGATTTCTCTCCGAGAGTTTATATATCACTAAAAAAATTGTATATATTCATTAATAGCCGTGCCCACCGTCCCCACCGGGATGTGTGTCTGCATATGCACCCAAGCAAAGTATGCATGAACCTGAGGGGCCAGAAGATACAAGTGCTGAGGTGAGCTCATTTAGTACTATTACCAATAGCATATTTCAACATTTTCCAAGTGTTTTTCTCAAATAGCCAAGGTTTAATATTCTTGTCCACAATTGTTTTCTTAGTTAAGTGACCCAAGGAGAAAAATAAATTATATATAGGAACCAATAATCTCAAACTAATATTTTGTAACAAAAATAATTATAGGCCGCTTATAGTAAATAACTCTTGAGAAATGTTCTAGCTAGATTATAAATTATAACCTTCCCTATTTGAGAAAGTTCTAAACACACCTTTAACCCTCAACCATTTGTAAAATGTACTTGTGAAATATTGAAATTTAGTGCCGACAAGGGAACATGTGCATTTTTATTATTGTGTAGTTAGATAATCATTCTGAATAATTAATGAAGTAGAAAGAATAAAGATTCTTTCTTTCATTATGGGTCATAGATAATACTCCTAGTCTACTCCCTCCGTCCCAAAATATCTGTCGTTTTCGCTTCCCGAGAAATAACTTTGATAAAATATATATTAAAAAATATTAATATTTATGGTGCATAATTGGTATCATTGGAAAGATATTTGAATCTAGTTTTTTAATAAATTTATTTAGAGATACAAATGTTGTACATATTTTCTATAAATTGAGTCAAACTTGCGGCACGGAAAAAAAAGTGACAGATAATATGGGATGGAGGGAGTAGTTTATAAGGCATTTCGCATATGTGTTGAGCCAAACTTTATAATCTTTGGTCAATAATTTAGCTAACAAATTTTAAATATTGTAATACAGACTTGATACCATTAAATTTATACCCAATAATTATAAGTTTATAATTATAAAAGATATATTATAATATAAATAAATAGTAAAAGTATAATTTAAAAGACCGTGCCATGTCACAAGATGCCCTATAAAATAAATCAGAGGGAGTAATCACTACATGATATTTAATATTTCTTGTGTATTAGTGAAAACTCTAAAGAAGAGCAATAACCATATATGTAGGCAATTTGTGCAAAAAAACAAGAAAACTTGAGAGAATTTTAAAACCTTGTAGTCCTAGCGCGGTAGCGCCACCTCGGTGATCGCATAACATCACCCACCATATGGAATCTTCTCTCGATTCATCTCAAAACTTGGTAGGTGTCGTGCGATGGTATAATAAAAAACATCAGCATATGAAGTTATTTGAGGCGTGAAATGTGTGTATGGACACACAAATTTCATGCTTCAATAATGTTTAATTTTTTTAATGATGATGTTCAAATAAGCTCTAAACTCTTTTCTATACCTAATATATGAATGAGGCACTCTCCTCCCTCAGTTGCAGGTAAGGCGCGGCCCCAGCAGCAGCGAGCTCCTCAGCGTCCATCCTCTCCAGCTCCGGTTCCCCTCGACGCCAAGCGGCGGTTCGCCGATCTCCTCCAAGCTGCACCTAACTAACAACACCAATGACCGCGTCGCCTTCAGGCTCCTGAGCAAGGGTCATCCGATCCGGGACTTGGAGGGGCCAACATGCGGCGTGGTGCCTCCGAAGTCCAAGCTCACCCTCGCCGTGACCCTGCGCAGACCGGTGAGCAGCAGCGGATTCTTCGAGCTTGTGAGCACTAGAGCAGGCGACGAGGACCTGCTGCTGGCACAGGACCCCCCTCCGTCTGACTTCCTCTACCAGCACAGCAGTTTCATCAACAGAGCCAAGGAGGCCGGCCGTGAAGTGCATTCGGTGAAGCTGGCTACAAATGTCCACACGCAAACTGCGGTTTGTTTTGGACCCTGGTTCCGCTTCCGCAGAGAGAACCTCCGTCGCCTCTTCGTGGATTGTTTTCTACCTGCTTGGTGACCCAGTGATGGCCTTGAAAGGGCCTAAAATGTTAAAATCTAGTTATGCATGCATACATGAAATCTAGTTCGACTTTTGACATTTTGTGAGATTTGTTAAAATTGAATTTCATGTTTCTGGATGAAATTATTTAATACGTACTGGGATATCTGTATTAATGAATATGATGATGACTACTACATGAATAAAGAAACAAAATATTACATCTCCACTTTGATTACACCAAATGAGTGGTTTTATTGGATTCTTTGACGCAACACGCACTACAAAAAGAAAGATTTTAGGACACACATCCATCTTATTTTTAGAGGCGGGCATAAAAAAAGCCCATCTCTATTGATAATACCTAGAGACCTAAAGACAAACCTTGCCTATGTTAATCAATTTTTAGAGCCAGGCAGCTGGAACCTCGCCTCTAAGAATTGGGCCATTTTTAAAGGTTGGCTTTTAAGTTGTCCACCTTTGAAAATATGCTTGAGGCTCACTATCGACCCATCAAACTTGGGTAGTATACAAACACGTCCTAGGGTGTCATCTTAGCTGAGCACTTCATCTTATTCTCAGCTGCCACCAGGGCCTCGCACTCAAGCGCCTCCGCCTCTCTCTCTCTCCATCCCCATGGCCCTAGCTCCATCTCCCTCTGCCTCAGACGCGGTTGTCACCAGAGAACACCATGTCCCTCTGCCTCCTCCTCCATGGCTAGCAGTGACATGCATGCCTGGCTGAACTCCCCTACCGACTTCTCCTACCGGCTACGGCATGTGGTTCTCTTGTAGTCCCATGCAGGTGGTGATGGATCCAGTGTGGGTGGTTGTGGATCCCATACAAGCGATGTTGGATCTAGTGCTAGCAGTAAGGGATCTCATGTGGGCATCAACACATCCGCCCGTTCCTAGGCGGAGGGCGGTGGATTAGGGCATCATGCTATGTGGATCTACCCATGGTGGACTAGTTAGATCCATAAAGGGGAGGCGTCGGAGAAGGCATCATCTCCATGGTGGATGGCTTGGTCATGTGTGGGGGCAGGGAACTTCATCGTTCCAAGTTGGTGCGTGTCCAAATCCCCTTGGGGTTCGCCTTGTCATGCTCATCTCTTCTTCCTCTCTCTATGCAGATCAACAGCGGGGTGGTGATATCTATGGCTAGCGGAGGCTCCGCAGTGCTAGCAAACTTTGTTCTAAGTTTCCAAATATGTATTTGTACTATCATTCATTTTGTAGATTTAAAGATACGTAAAAACCAAGCACCGTTGTTGTTAACTGAACGTTGTACTTGTCGTTTTGGTTTGCATGGTGATTTGGAACATGGTATCACTTTACTTGCTAATCAAATATGCTTGTGTAAACGTATGAACTGAGTTTATGTTGCTAAAACAGGTGTAGCAGTGCTCCAAATTGTGACTTGTGTTGTTTGCATCATTGTTCTATGGCAAATAAATTTGGTTTGGTTTATTCTACCTAAACTCTATCAAAAGATTAATCAAACAAATATGATATACCTAAATAATTAGTAACTTATTCCTTCACGTAGTTCAATATGTTCTTTAATGCTAAAGCTTGTGAAAAGTATTTTAGCAAGAGGTAAGTGATAAGTTTAAGCGTTTGATATGTTTACATATGTGGATGTTTGTGGGGTACGTGGTAAGTACTTTTCTTGCAATTGGAGCATATTATTGCATCATATGCATTCATGCCATGAGGTGCATGTGAGCTAGATCATTGAGAAAAGTGATATAACTATTCCAGAGTGCATTTGAGCTGGGTCGGTGAGAATGTTATATGACTATTCCAGAATGCCATTGTGGATTATGTCATCATCTTATGGCTGCGACTGTACTGATACAACATCATATTTCTCGAGGAGCGGTATGATATAGCTTCGTACCTTATTCAGTATGGAGACAAAAGTCACGTGCAAACATACGGTGGATATGTGCTCATGTGTGAGTAATGAGTGATTATCAAGGTGATGATCAAAGTTTTGGTTTATTGTACTGAGATTAACTATGGCGTGAGTAAGTTATGTGTGCAACATGTCTCTCGGCTTTATGATGTGTAGGTGTTGAGCATGAGACTATCCACAATAATGGTGAAGGTCAAGCGAGGAGTCCGTGCATGATGGACCGGTGTAATACCTCTGGTGTTACGAGCTTGCTTAGCACCGCGATTTAGGCCTAAGTAAAAATTTTCGAAACGAGTTTCTCCGATCTTTGATTTAAAACATCCTTGAGGCGATAAGTTTTGTGGACTCAAATAAACGCCCAAGTTAAATTGCTCAGTGCGTAAAGATATTTAGGAATGACGAATGACGATTCTAGCGAACGGTTTGTTCTATTAGTTTAAGTATGGAAAGCGACTTTTATAAATAAAATAAAATCCATTAATATATAGAACGGTATATATATATATATATATATATATTCACGGGTTTATTTTGATAAGCACGAACTAACGAGAGAGAAAGCGCAGCAGCTTCGTTTATTTTTCCTAGCGTACAATGTACTCGCCTTGCTTTGCAATTATGCACCGTCTCGTCTCTGCCGTGGCTCTGCATCCCGGCGCGTTGGTTTGCCTGCGCTCCTGTCTTCTCTCCCTCGCTTGCGTCGTCTCTGATTTTTTTGAGAGCACGTGGTTCTACTCCTACCCACGCCGTGTCCTCTCACCTTCCTGCGCTCGCAGCTTCTAGCCGCGTTGTGCCGTCCCATCCTGTTTCCTTTGGCGTGCTTGAAATGGGTGGCGAACCCGCACGAGTCTCCTTGCTTGCCTCTGTCTACTGCTGCCGTGTACTACTCTTCCCTGCCTCCGTTGTCATGAGTGAGCCCCGCTCGTGTCCTTGCTACTGCTGAGCTACTGCTCGCTCTGTTCCCTTGCCTCTTCCATTCTCTATACTGCAGTACCACTGAGCCTTCAGGCAACAGCAGGCCCCTTTCTCTTTTTCCTCGTCTACCACGGCGCTCGGCACTTTGGCGTCCATGCTCTTGCCCTGGCATGTCGCACTATCACAGCACCACATCGCCTCCTGCCTTCGTGTATGGGCGCCCTACGCACCGGCGCGGCCGCGCGCTCGCCCCCTTTGCTGACCGTGCCGAGTCTCTCGCACGCCGTGCTGTTTTCCCTCCCAGCTCGCCTGGCCGTGCTGCCGTGCTGCTCGCCCTCCTCGCTTGCTCTCTCTTTCGTTTGGCTCCTCTCCGTTGCTTGACTGCGCCGTCCGCCGCCGATCCCTCACGTGAGCGCGCGGGCTCCCTTGGTTCCATGCCGGAGCCGCCGCACCACGCCACCGAGCTGGACCCGCAGCTCCACGGTGCCACGCGTGTCTCCACCCCGTTTCTTCCCCGCGCTGCCATGCACCGCTCGTGAGCGCCGCCCCTCCATTTCCTCGCTGGACCGCAGCCCGCCGCGCTGCCCTCTGAGCCACCATCGCGCCTCGCCGGTCCGTCCGCACCGAGCTCGACCACTGCCTCGCCGTTGGTCAGTCGCCCTGCCTCCTCGCGAGTGCGCCTGGGCTCGGGTGGCCACGCGCAGCTCTACCTCGCCGCACCGCCACACGGAAGACCACGCCAAGGGTCACCTCTTGGCCGCGCCTTTTCTCTCCGGCCGAGTCTCTCCTGCGCAACCGCCGCCGCTCCGCGCCTCCCGTGCGGCCACGCCATGGCCGCTGCTCCGGGCGCCCTTCAGCCAGACCGTGGCTGTTTCCGTCGCACAGTCACCGTGTGTGTGAGCGCGCCCGAGTCCGGCCATCGTCCGCGCACCTCCCCGCGCCACCCCACTTCACCTCCGCCGCTGGTGAGACGCCGTAGGGGCCGGTGGGTTGCTCCTCTGCTCCGTGCGCTCTTCTCCTGGGAAAGGAAGGAAGGTGAGATGGGTGAGAATCCAAGAAGAAATGTTATACAGGGTCCTTACTGCAAAATACGTGACTCATATGAATTGTACATGTTGGACTACGGGGTAAATTTAAGATAGTACGGGAGCCGTTTCGCAAATACACCGTGCCACTTGCCGCCTGGGCCGGCCTACGTTGACGCCTGGGCCACTGGCGCTGCTGGCGTGGGCCTGCTGGGCCGCCTGGTTGGTAGGCCGCGCCGCGCTGCCAGGCCTACCGCGCGTCTGTGGGCCGCTCACGCTCGCCCGCGCTGGGCCGGCCATTGGCCGCCGCGCCTGGGTCGCTCGCCCCGCATGGGCCGGCATGCTCCCACGCTGCTGGGCCAGTTAGTTGCTGCCGGCCCTTTCCAATTCTAAGTGCTTTTCTAAATAGGTTTCTAGTTTAATTTGTAAAATCAATATAGAAATTTGTAGTTATCCAAAAATCATGAAACCAGTTTTGTTGAGTTTCTAAAATTATGATCTATCTAATAGTGTATTTTGTTCACATAATTTGATAATATTCTTGGAAGCTATATAATTAATTAGAGGTACTTAATATTGTAAAAATATAAATTTGTATGAATTGTTGTGATAAATTGGTCATAGTGTTGAATCTGAAATTTCTACAGTAGGTTCCTAGCAATATTAGGTGCTCATTGTATTTTTTGTAGCTCAATAATAATTAGTTTGCTCGGTAGATAATGATGCTCTATTTCGAATAATGATTAAATCGATAGAATGAAATAAAGAAACAACCTTGGTTTATATAACTAAAATAATTGTTGGAAAATATTGCCTTATCCGACAACGTGTATATGTAGCCAAAGTACGGTCGTCGTAGAACTAGCCCGTTAACTTGAGAGGCATAAATCATATTTTATGAGTCACGATTGCAGTCGATTAATTACGTCTTTGCATTGCATCGCGTTGCATATCATATAGGTACGATGATGGATCAATGGATCGATTGAAGGATGATTGGGAATCCGAGGATGGTGTAATGGTATTCGCTCTAGGAGA